TGAAATGAGTCAGCGTCCGGATAGTCAGGACACACACAACGAAAAGAAATGACTAATCACGTCCAGACGCAGACATTCCGCGTCCGGCGAGACTTTTTTTTTTTGCTGATGTTTAAAGGAATAGGCGTGATAGGATAGAAGTCAAAGGACTTAACTATCAACATCACATAGGCAACAGCCTGTGAACTATTACCTCATCCCTAAGTAAGAATCATTACCTGTCATACTAACCTTCCCCAGTAGCATTCTTAACAATACTGTATACATTTGAACAATCGCCTCCATGATAGTCTTCTTCCCTTTCAATTCCTTCATAGAATACAGATTAGAAGTTGAATATCACATTTGTTGAGCTTGTGAGGTCCCCCAGTTTACAGATACTATCGGCGCTCATTCAGGGGCTCTTGCCGAGCCCAACAGCTTATCGTCTGTTGAGCAACACCAGTAAGACCTGATGCCTTGCTCTGTGAAATACCACATTCTAGCATCGTCAGAACTCTTGTCCTGGTTGGAGTTTCCCATTCATGGTGAATTGCAGGTGGTGGTGTGGGGGAAGTCATGGTTGTCGTACTTGATTAGGTGTTGTGGTACCTTCACACTACTCATGACTTTTTGAGCCAAGCTCGTACTGTACGATAGAGGTATTGCTCCTAGTAGTTACTCTGTTAACTTTGAGTGCCTTTAGTAGTGGCCAGTTGATGTCCAGCAAAGATAACTGGTTTAAGCTTGAACAAGCCAAGCATTTTGATAGAAGATGATGCGATTACTTGGCAATTTAAAAAGTCTCCAGACGATTTTGTGCCGGAGACTTTTTAAAAGGCCAAGTAGTCAGCCGTGTTGCAAGCTTGGCATCTGCCGAGGATGTCATTTCTCGTGACAAGAAATCAACTAACGGACAAACGTATAGCAGAGATGGACGATAGGAATAACCACATCGCAGAATTGCGTGGGTGAGGTGCGGTGCCTCCGCTCGCACCATGGGAACTGATTATTGCGCCACCTCCGCTACCCACCTACTCTCTTTTTCCATCCACAGAGAATTCGTGCTCTTAATCCTCCTCGGAGGGAGATTACAATCCGGCAATTTAGGCCTCCACAACACTCCAATCCCCTTCAGACTCTATCCCGAGCGGGGAGCCGAAGCTTCTTTTAGTCGACATCCAGGGCTTCATGGACAACGAAACGAGCTTCTAGAGCTCTCCTGGCCACCTGCACAACTTGTTAAGTTATCCGTCACTTTGGAAGACTTGGGCTGGGGTGCCTACTTGAAAGTACTTGGCGTTTTTTAAAGTCTCCGGAACGTAGGTTACGGGCCCGGTGCCAAGTTACTGTAAGTTCCTGCAAATGTCGGTGAGGTGAAGCCAGTAGTTACGCCATCAGTGCATCACTTATTCATTTCCCATTCCGGAGACTTTAAAAATCGTCGAGTATATCCAAAGTTGAAGACTAGGCAAGGCATTTCTGTGGCAGTGGAGGGGTTTTCAGGGTGGCTCACGCAATTCAGGAACCCGGGCACGGATGTGATATCGCTTGGACACTCCACGGGGAGGATTCGGGCAGCGGAGGTGGTGTTGTTGAGGGATGAGTGGGGGGATTAGGCATAGGATTTACTGATTTTGGGGATGCAACCTGTGATTATATCCACTAGGTTGGGGAGTCTGTTCAGGTCGGAAGCGAAGAACCCTTCCACCGAGGGTGGGTCAAGTGAGGGCGGGTTGAGTAAGGGTAAGGGGGTGTACATGGGTAAATTCGAGTACGGCTTCAGTGTCAACCGTACATTCTGGGAGTATTATACCGTGAATGAGCTTTTTGATAGGAGACCTGAACCGAATTTCACGGTTATTTAAAGCAAGCGAGGTATGTGCTAGTTACGATATCCCCATGGGGGATAGAGGTGCCAGCACTCGTGCCAAGGTTGTGGTGTTGAGCACCATAACCCCCGGAAGCTCGCAGGCTCACAACCGGGGGCACTCTAAAGAGTGCCTGACAGCTCAACGTCACTTTGTGGGTTCACGGCAACGCAGTAATAGCTTACTGTAAGTCTGTGGGTTACCGTAACAACATGGTGATAGCTTACGATAACTCTGTAGGTGAGCATCATAATATTCTGACTTATTGAGCCTCAAGTTATGCTTAGTCACCGTGTTGCAATATGGTAACCCACAAAGTGACGTTGAGCTGTCCGGTAACTTGAGCTGTCAGGCACTCTTTAGAGTGCCCCTGGTTGTGGTGCTCAACACCACAACCTCGGCACGAGTAGGGGTACTAGAGCGAAATTGGGATTCAGGACTGAGGTTTATCAATAAGCACCACCGTCATACTACCGCTACGACGGAGTACTGCTGTATGTCGCATCTTGAGTTCGGGTTCGTTTTCCACGCCAATCGCCCTCTGTACCGAAGCAGCTAAACCAATTGAAATAGTGGCTGCCACCCCGATCCCTCAGGCCCAAAATACCGCTATAAGGCCATTCAGAAACTCAAAACTGGCAAGCAAACCTTAGACGCTTAAACCTGCCTGCATTTCTTAGGCTACTGCACATCCTCTGCCGTATCCCCAACCGCGGCCGCGCACCTGGGGCACCCATTTGACCTCATGGGGTCTCAGGAGTAGAGGGGACAGGCGGTAGCGAGTTCCAAGAAGTGGCGCGGGAATTTTTCCTTGGGGTCAACTCGTCTACTACGAGAGGGCGCTCTAGGAGCCTTAGTACAAACACTGTCTCCTCAGGTGGGGAAATGGCACAACTGGACCCCAATCCGATATCCGATAACAGGAGGTTCAATGAGTTGCGGGATAACCCAAAGGGATCTACCCCTGTGCCTGCAATAGCAAAACTACAATAGCAGGGCTTGAGCGCATGATGCCCGACCATGCTCTGTTGGAAATCGTGGATGTTTCTCGACATGCTTGGAACCTGCTCGATGCCCTGAGAACACGTGCGACATGCTCGTGATATCGTTTCGTTACCCGGATAATTGCTTCGCTCATTCGGGTGGAGGTTTCGGGGGTGCGATTAGGCTGGAGGTATTCTTGGGAGGACACGATGTATCTGCCCGAAGTAGGGTATGTATCCCTAGGGACCGGGAGTGTTAAAGTGACAAAGCAGAGGCCACGGACAGATGGAATCCTCATGAAGCTTGTCCCGGTGAAGCCTGTCTTTCATTTGTTAGCGTGTTTGATATATGTAAATCATACTGGCGACTCCTAACAGGTACTGTACCTACCAGTAGGCAGGCTTATGGCCTCCGCTTTCACCGCGGCATTATATTCCTCAGGATAAACTAACCCTCAACCTTGCCCACTCTTACAGTACATCTAGAAAGTACCACCCGTGCCTTAGGTACCGACTCCGCACTATTCATGCACAGGCCTAAGCTCACGCAAGCGGCATTGGCAGCACTAGGCCGAAGCCCGGGAGTAGGCAGAGGGAAGGGAGACTTGCACAGACAAGCATGGGCGAGAGTGGGTATGTCTGGTGACCGGCAGAGGGATAGGAGGATGTCTTTGTGACAGTTGATATATACTCCAGTTTTTACTGTTCCGCTAGTTGTGCAGAGAGATAGAGCGAGAGAGAGTTGAATTGAGAGAATTTCCCTACTTTCCAAAGTCATGAGCCCGCGATCGGAGCTTTCTTCTGTTGCGTTACTAATCGCCGTTTCGTTTTGCGGTGCCTGCACCAGCAAAATCAGGTGGGGATGTAGGTTCTCCAAATACCCAAGAACCACGTAGTGGACGGTAAAGCAAGATGTCTTGGCATGGTACGTTTAATATGACTGACATCCAGAGTGCCACCATGGTGACCGAATCGCCATGGCAAGTACCATATCATACCTCGGGTGGCCAAGACAGAAGCGAGGATTTAGTTCCTTGTCCGAGCTGGGTGGCAGAATACGGTGACCCCCTCCTTTTACACCAAAAATGACCGATTCCAAGGAATCACAACTCATCTAAAAGCAAGATAGAACTAATGAAATTAATATTACTCGTACACTTCGGATAGCTTGGCTATTGTTGAAGGTCCTGCATTATTCGTGCAACCAGCACTCTCCAACAAATTCTCGGCTACACGCAGGGATGTCCCGCAGAATCTAAGCAGGCATCACGCACACTCCAATATTAAGGAATTTTTTATCCGCTAGCCTTTCCGCGAAGCCCCGCTCATGGCGAGAAAAAAAACTGTTCGCTGGTGATCGACGGCTTGTGCGATCAGGAAAAGAAGGCGAATATCGCAGTCGCATGCGTGTACTACGACTGCCTTTGCCAGCAAGAACAGACAGTCACCAACATGATGGGAGCTATTCTGAAAAAGCTGGTAGGAAGAGGTGAAATCACGAAATGTCTACGTGAGGCGTTTGGGGAAAGGATGAAAGAGAATGGTGGCAGGGGCATCCGACCTCCAGACCTTACGAGAATGCTGAGGATCGCTACTACTTTGAGACCCTGCGTTTTTATCTGTATCGATGCCCTGGACGAGTGCCTGCCGAAGCATCTGCCAGACCTTCTTGCATCGCTAAGAGATATTGTTCGGGAGTCTCCTACCACACATATATTCCTCACGGGGAGGCCCCACGTGAGGGAAGATATCCAAAGATATTTTACCAAGGCGGTTGTGATACCCATCAGTCCCAGCGCCAAAGATATTAGGAACTATCTAGAGATGAGGTTATCCAGGGACCCTAAGCCAGATGTGATGGACGGTGGCTTATGGGTAGTAATTGTGGGAGTCATCTTGGAAAAGTTATCTGGTATGTGCGTTGCACTATTTAACATTTGCAGCCTATCAATGAACACTTGCCAACGATTGCGTGTATATTCCTCCTGGTTTCGCTAAACATCGACGCTATTCTTGGTGGGGTCAACATTCGTGAGAGAGGAAAGGACAAGGAATGCCACACCCCCGGGGATGCTACCAACCACGAGACGGAGGTACTCTGTCCAGAGAATTAGGCAGTAGTCACTTCTGGGGATTAGGTTAGCGCTTGTATAGGCGCAGTTTGAGTCAGGTGAAACATCATGTTTATTGGTCTAACTAATAATAAGTTTTTTCAACCCTCAAGAATCCCAATCCACGCATTTTACCTCTGCGCATAGGCCACACTAACCATCCACAGCCGTCCCGCAACTTCACCACAGAAAGCCCAAGATGCAGATACAATAGTTTAAGGTTCGTAGTCGTCGTCTAACATAGTTTCCCGTCCCTCACGGCCTCTTAGTGTTCGGCGGCACCTATCAGCGGCTAGCTCTTTGATATAGAGTCCGAGGTTGCTGATATAGTCACCCCAGTCGATAGGAATGTGATGATCATTGTCCGGAGAGATATCAACAAAGTCATGCAGCCAAAAGTGAGTATACGTCGTATTGGCCATATTGAGGAGGTTCTACACAGGTCAGCTTGAACCACTTCAGTGGCATTGAGGGCTGGCTTGACAAACAAGCAACCATTTCAGCTCTAAAAAAGTGGTGCTCGTCGGGTTTTGCACAGAAGGGAAATAGTAACTTTGTGTGAAGACACAGAACGGAAGGGGTGTATCCAAACAATGTCTCGGGAGTAACTTACTATGCGATCCGAGGACGTACGTGTAGCCAATCGGGTGACAGGATCTCTCTTCCAGATCTCCATGAAACCAGTCACCCCCCCAACCCAACGCAACCCCTTGTAAAAAGCTGGCCCATATGGACCTCCAAGCGTGAAGTTTTTCACATCAATTTCCGTCCTCGGAGGAAATCCTAGCTCGGAAAACTCATCCTCACTGAGATTTCGAGTTGGGCATTTGTAGACTGGGGTTTCCTCCATCTTCACAATCATAACTATGGAAGCAGCCTCTCTACCCTCGATCCACATCTTGGCGTCGCGAACCAACATGGCGTAGGTCTCTGCAAGGCCAACTTCGAGGACAAACTTCACCTCCACAGCTCCAGTAGCATCCGTAACCTTAACCGCGGTATCAGGGGCTTTCTCGGACCCGTCGTATGCCCCCTGGAAGTCGGTAAACTGTTGGTTTCCTACGATATGAATCATCCTGCGAAGGCTGGTTGGAAGACTCCTACGTGCGAGAGTAAACCCCTCCGAAACAGTGGACACGATCTGTTCATGAATAGGGCTAGGTGTGCATTGGATAGTAAGCAGTGAGGATGACGCGTCGTATGAATATCTTGGAAACCTAGCACTGTTGAGTAAATATCTTACGAGAGGAGGAATAGAGTCTTACTTTTCATCATTGTCTATATCCAAGGCTTTCTTGAAATCGAGAAAATGGGGCATCGTGATTTCCAGAGTCAATACGTTCTCCCTACCCTCAGGAGAACTAAGGACCCCTTTTCCGGTATGCCACTCCTTGAACCTCCGTACAAATTCCTGAGTGTATGCCGACTTAGGATTTCCAATCGGTGCAACCTGCTCCTCATTAACGGAAGTAATATCCTTGGCTTTAGGGAGACGGTTGTGACGAAAAAATGGAGCCATGGGGCCAGGGGTAATCATGTGGGATGGAGTAGGCAATTGCGGTTGGGTGGGCCTGGGGGAGTAACGCCCGGGAGTGAAGTAAATATTTGGGTATACCGAGTGGGAGATAGGGCCATCGTGCCTCACAGGCGTACACGGCCGATAGTCCATACCGGTAAAGGTGAATCAAAAAGTAGAAAAGAGAAGGAGAGCGTGAAAAGTAGAAAGAATGGGGAAAAGGTGCGTTGGAGCAAAAAAAAAGTTTTCAAATGAATGTCAGGTAAGGTAGTTGGAACGGCTTCTGAACAGTAGTTGTGGGGTGGGAGATTGCGAGTTAGACGAGAGAGAAAGGTTCAACGGACATGTTTTTATTTTATCATGCGTCTTTGCCAAGAATACCACCAGGTGTGGCGTAGGGCAACCCTATAGGGTATTTTTAACAGTCAGGAGGGGGGTTGCACACCCACAAATCATCATGTCGTAGCTAGCTTTTCTTGCATGTTTTTCTGCACTTTTGTCACGCACTTGCACAATAAGCCACAACCACCAGTTAGATGAGCGAACCACGCATGACAATTATCCCTTCGTCTGTTCCCGAGTTTCACGCACTTTTAGTGATTTTAGTGAGTGCTGAAAGCACTCCTCTAATGCCTGTTTGGGAGAGATGGTTGCAACCATTATCTCCTGGACTGCTGAAATTCCAGAATTATCACCACCCCTCTTGTCGGCTAAGATGGCACATGCTTTGGGTTACTGCTGTAGTTCTCATTTGTTCTCAGCGTACCTGTGGTAACAGGTATCCTGAAGTGTGCACACCTGCGAATTTCTAGTAACCAACAACAGCATTGCTTACTAATGATGATAGTGATGGCAAGAAATTCTTAAGGTTCATGTAGTGCGGAAGTTAGCGTTGTGCTTGAAAACAGACGAAGGGATGGCATAGACCTCGGTCCTTTCGTTCATCTTTATTGGTCTTGGTCTTTCGATCGGGTCAACTCTCCATCGGGTTATAGTCAGTAATAACAACAGATCATTTTCACGATAAGGAGGCGGGATACGGCACGTGCAACACACCATCCAATAACGGATCCCGAAGAGGGAGGATCGACACAGGTACTGGTTTCTAGAGGTTAACCCGAGGTTTGTGGCAATTTTGTCACCAAAATTCGGTACCCGGCGGTATTCTTGGCAAAGATACGAGTATCATACATGAGATGGATTGATCGCACAAGTATCATAGCTAAGGTACTCGAGTACTGTAGTAGAACACGCCTGGACAGCCTACGGCTTCCACATACTGAAAAGGTCACCTGAAATCCACTCTCTCCAGCGGCGCTGCAAACTCTGGATTCTAGTAGTTTCATAGTCACTGTTTCATTCCGCTGGTGTTTTAGTTCCATCACCGTTACGGAAGCTGTCGGTATTTGCAAAAGCCATTGCCTCTTAAAATGCTCCTCCTTTTATCCCCACATATTCCACTACTTCCGTACCGGGGCCTCCGGTAGTCCCGCCGCCACCACCGAAGCCAACAGGATTTGACTACTCACATATCCCAGATTCAACTGTGTGTAAACTCGCTGAGAGGGCTACTATAAAGACAATGAAAGTATAAAAGCAGAGTGTAGAAGGTCACGGAATAGAGGCCAAAGACTGGAAGTAAGCCGGCAAGAAGAGAGAGCAGGAGCAACGAAAGAAGCAAGAGAAAAAATCGGAGCTTTCAGGGCTATGACAAGGTAGAGAGAGACTATGGCTAGAGAAGCAAAAAGTGGAACAAGCGGTGGTGGCCAGGAGGCATTCCGGAACTGCCTGTTTACAACTGAACCAAAGAAAGCACTACCTCCCGGAAATGTTCCATGCAGTCCCCCTCCTCTCCATCGCTAATCCCTTAGCCTACTCACTCACTCCTCAACCCCGTGAGAGGAAGATCTACCTGACTCCACTCACGCTGGATTCCTGCTGGGCCCAGGTTGAAATGACGGGAGTGGAGGAAATTGGTGCTTATTGTGGACTTTTGTTTTTGGGAGATGGGTATGAGAGGTTGGTTGTAGATGTTACCGGAAAAATGGAAGGGTGAGTAGGAGATGAGGGTACTAGGCGGTGACTAGAGGTGGGGGAGAAGGTGATGTGGAAAGTGGCCTTGCGGGTGGTTGTTGGTGGGGCATGGCTGGAGAGAGGGTGGAGTTGTATGGATAAGTGTATTGTATCACTACCAGCGAGCGCTCCGAATCTAATATGTACTGCAAAACCTATCTTGATCGGACACAAAATCTGATAAGAAGTGGGCAGTTTGAGGCCTGCATCACAGGGTATTTCTGGTACAGTGTGTCCGTGATGAACTCTACTCTACAATGTAATGCTCATACTGCCCGTCCATGATCTACTTTGCACCACCAGGTAATTCTGAGACTAGGTAATAGTAGTCAATACTGTACCACAGCCGATTTTCCATTGAAACCTATCATAAACAGCAGTAGAAAAAAAAAGAAAAAAAAGAATTGAGCATTAAATAAAAGAAGTAATACATAGATAGAATAGTAGAAACAAAAGATTACTAACTTAAGTATTTGAATGGAAAAGAAATGAAGAGAAGAATAAATAAAAAAAATAAAAAAAGACAACAATGAGGAGATGGACACAAGAATAGAATAACTGAATACTTTTGACAAAGGACAGAATAAAAAGAGTAATTCATGACAATAAGTAAAGAAAATGAAAGCAAATAATAATAAAGAAAAAAAGAAGACAGGAATAAGAAATAAAGAAAAAGAAATAAGAATTTATCACTAAGCCCTAAATGTTATGTCCTCACTGTTCAAGTTCTGCAAATAGGGTTGACAATGTTAGTAGGAGATTGCCTTACTGTTTGTCTATTTAATCCTCCTTTTCCTCTTCCTCCTCTGTTCTCCCTGCTCAACCATCAACCTTGAATGAGCAACTTTTTTCTTTTTTTCTATTTCTTTCTCCCAACATATCAATATAAATAAAACACAATTATCGATCACTATCTTTTTCCAAATCCTTTAAAGAATTTTAATTTACATATTACTGACATCCATCATAGAAGGAGCTACGCACATCATGCAATGCTGTACTCACTGTAATGTGCGGAGACCTACGGATGTGTTCGAGAATGATTTGCAAGGTAGGCCAAGAAAATCTTGCCGCCAGTGCCTGGTTAGTAACAATTAAGCACATATAATCATACCGATTAAGAGGCAAATACTGAATCAATCATGTGATAATATAGAAGAAGCGATGAGAGAGAAGGAGGTCACCCATGATTGTCATCAGGGAGGGATCCCAGTGGCAGGATAATGTGGTGGAGGGGAGGCATGAGGATTTGGTCAGTACTGGCTATGTTATTGTTTGAAATTTATTTTAGAAGGAAAGAAGACTAATGTAAAATGAGTGGAAAAATAGGCCGAGGTAAGTGTTCCTACCAAGACTGGTCTACTAATGGTTGTAGGCCCACAAGATGTTCCTCCTCCAGATACAGTAGGAACTGCAGCACTTATGAGGGGTTCTCAGTTCTTGCTGGTGATTGGAAGTAAGGAACAAGAAGTGGGACCTCAGGATTACGGTATACTTCTTAATCAGAAATGAAAATAGGGAGTGCTAACTATCATATCAACAGTAGGTAATGATGGTGAAATGCATAAGTGCATTCGGTACCGGCAACACAAACTAACAGAGGGGTTTGATATTGACAATCGAGGCAACCTGAGATGGTCTTGCAGGAACTGCTTGGTTGGACCCATGTTTGCTTTTCTAAAAATTGAATCAATATAAGTAAACCGCTAACATATAAATTATTTTACAGGCAGCAAGAAGAAATTCAAGAGGCCAAGCTCTCGCAGAGCAATGCTTGGCTGCTCCAAATTTTGTACTTGAACCTGTGCCTGAAATTCCAGCAGTTGATTGCACAAGGTTCATTTTCTTTATTGGGCAGCGGGCGCATTGGACAAGGCAGAATCTGGGTCGGATGAATGTTGTTTGCAGTGCTTGCCATGCACTGCACTGGGCTGCTGAGTGACCAAGATTGTCACTTGACTGGGAACCAGGAACCTTTGAGTCCTGTTGCAAGAGGGGTGATGCTGATGTGGAGAAATTGCAGCCATTGCCTGAACCTCTTAACACCTTGATGACTGCAATGAATGGTCAGTCAAGGGCATTTCGAGGGCAGTTATGGTACTGGAATAATGTTAAGAATCCTGCCGGGTAGATAAGTAGGACGACAGGTAATGATTCTTACTTCTTGCGAGGTAATAGTTCTTAGGTATATGCCTACGCGATATTGATAGTCAAGTCCTTTGACTCCTATCTGATCGTGCCTATTCCTCTTTTCTTCTTAAGTCCTTACTGAGGACTTATTCGTTTGCCGTGGGATGAGAAATAGTTTTCTCGTGTGGGAGGAAAGACAATTCTTAGGTTTCTTAAGATAAATCCTAAGGAGCGTAAAGGTAGGTTTTATTGATAAACTTAAAGGTAGAAAATAACAAGAAAAACGTGTGAAGAGTTAATACTAGGGGTCCTAGTCACCCTTTATATAGTAGCTCTTCATCTGGCATGACTGATACTTATACGTCACATGAACCTTGTGACTCATAACCATGAGTCATGCGAAATCCATCAGCTGACTCCCATGAGTCGCTGCGCAACGTACCTAAAACCAATCAAAATATAATAACCAAGTCAGGTGTGCAACTCGCGTCACCTGAGTGACACCCATGACTCATAATTTGAGTCATGTGCAAAAATCATAACATTGTGTGACTCACAATTGTGAGTCACAAACAGGTAAACATAATAACCTATGGCGCACTATTGTGTGTCATGTGAAATTCCAATATACCTATAGCTCGGTATTCCGAACTATGTAAAATCTGCCTTGCTTAGTCACAGTTTGTGACATTAGCTCCCCTCTCCCTCAGCCCAAGTCCCATCAGGCTTATATCAATCTGTCCTCCAATCCCCATGCCCTAGCCGGTAGTCCCCACTTGGCTTCCTTGTTTAACCAAGTACTGACTTTCCTTACTCTCGTCAGGGTCCTCTCCGCCTCCTTCTCTTCCCTTCTCCAGTCGTTCTGGAGAGCTTTCCTTATCCTCGTCTCCTCCCTCAACTCACTCTGGAGTTGTCCTATTTTTTCCGCTTGCCATTCCAACAATTTTTTCATCTCCTCCACCTCCGCTAACAATTTCATTGTCATTGTCTCTGGTTTCTCTTCTTCCATCTCTTTCTCCCAGGAGACATGCCTCGTCTTCCTGGGTTTTACCCATTTCTGGTTTTTCACCCCCCTCCTCCTTGACT